ATTCTTCTTTTAGAGAACATGTTCTCAGATTTCTGAAGAACTCATGTGAGCTTTAAAGACTCTCATTTCAACAGTTGTTCTGTAATGAATCATGTGAGTCAGAAACATTTTGTTTTGTAAGCTAGATTATTAATCAATCAGAAGCTTCTGAGATTCTGTTGTATAGAGATTATAGAGATTAATAAAAATAGGTTTATTTTCTTCTTTTTTTCTTTTTCTTTTTCAGAGCATCTGAATTCTAGAAGCAGTAGATACTGGAGATTTCTGTTGATTATTAAATGACTGACTGATAGATAGTGATAGAATCTCTGTAAATCAGTGGCTTTTCTTCTGTTTGTAAGTGAAATGGAATCTGAATAATATGATGTTATTAATATTAGTGACTTAATGTTTCTTTTGATTTGAATCTGGGTTTTTTTGTGCTTTCATTATAGATATTTTTAAATTTGAGATGTTTTTATTGATTTCTGTCAAGCTAATGCATCAATCTCACTACTAGATGACTTTCAAACAGCTGAGTGGTACTGTGACTGCTTTGATAATAAAGAAGTGTGCTCATATTGCAGCTGCAGCTGCAACTGCCACTTCAGTTGTCTCAGAGCATTCAATTATCTCTGTCTCAACTTGTTCTCTGTCCCCCATAAGCTTTTATATATGTGAAGAAGACTAGTTAGCAGTGAGCTAATGAATTTTTTTTGATTAATCTTCTGTTTCATTCTTCAGTTCTCACCCACAGATTCTTTTCATTATGACTATCAGCTCTGAAAAGTTCAGTCACAATGCATCTCTCATAAATCTCAGACATCTAGCTGATAGATAGCAGCAGCTAATAAGAGAATGAAAGTTGAGAGATAAAACAACTGCTGATACAGTCAGTTCAACTGTTTCTGCTGTCTCTGTCAGTGCTTTCTATAAATTTTAAAAAAACATGTCAAGTTTTCTCTTTCTAGATCTTGCTGATAGCTCACAGCAGATCAGCAATCAGACTTCTGTGTGTGTGTGATGTATCAAATATCTAGTACAAGATTGCATTATGATTTGTTTGTTTTCTGTTGTGTTTGACAAGTGCTTCTAGTACTGTATATATGAGAAAGCATGTATGATGATTCTCTCTGCTCTCTATAATGAGATTGCAGTGATGTATCAGCTGGATATTAATAATTATTCAACTTTGAAGATTCTTTCTTGTTTGCAGAGAGAGATCTCAGCAATTAATATTTTTTTTTATGAGATAGATGTTTCTTAAATTATATTATATCATGCTTCTGCTGCTGCTTCTGTTATCTCCATCTCCACCACCATCACTCTCAAACTGAGATCTCACACCATTCTTGCCTCTCTCTTGTGACTGGAGAGAACACTATAAGCAATGTCTAATAATATTGTTCAGTTTTTTGAATCATTCAGAATTGAGACTGAACTTTTAGAGGAGGAGAAGAAGCCAGCAAGACTCATTGAAAATAACAACTAGTTGTTGATAGATTGCTGATTTCTCACTGATTTATCACATTTTCAGTTTGTTTATTAGTCTTTGAGTCTTAAATCTTTACTCTTTTTTATTAATTTTTAAATCTTGAATGAAAACATTTTCTTCAGCTCTTTCATTATAAATTTTTTATAAGTTATATTTCTTCTCTCTCTTTTTAGCTGCTAGCAGCTACAGTGTGGTTATTGTGTAGTGAATTTGTAATGATATCTCTTAATTGAAGCTGTAAATAGCTGTTTGAATTCTGTAATAAGTTCATTGCAGTTTGAAAGATCTTCTGTCTTTATTTATTGATTTTTGTAGAAAGAAAAGTCTTTTCATTTAACTAGATATTCAGTTTTTGAATGATGAATGTATTTATTAAGAATGATCTCTACTTTTCATTTCTCTTCATCATCAATTAATACTGACTGCAGAGTTGCTGATTGATTGCTGATATATTTCTGATAGAACTTCAGCAATGAAATATGAAAAGTTGAATTAATTTGCTCATATGATTTTGAGAGTCCTAATACATAAGCTTGCTTTTTCTTGTATAGCTATAATCTCAAAAGATGTTAAAAATTAATTATCTAGCTTGGTAGAAAATTTTAGAATCTTTATATTTTTTTAATTAAGTAGAACATGATTGTTAGAGTCTGATGTGAGTGGTAAAGAAGTGTTGAACTCAGAATCATGTGACTGAATTCTTCAGACAACTGCTGGTAGTAGAGCTCAGAACAAGAACTCAGAATAAGAAAATATATATTGCATGATCATCTCAAACTTCTCTTTTCTTCATCATGTTTAGTATTTTTAATTAAATCTATCTAATATAACAGTTTATTAGATTCTTCTTCTTCCATTCTTGCATCTAGTCTGAAATTATATCATATTATTAAATATTATCTTACTTTGCTCTTTTTTAAAGTCTTTCAGTTAAAAGATTTCAAGCAGTATTGATCATGATTTCAAGCATGTCAGCATCTGCAAACAATTTAAACTTATCACTTTTGAAGAATCAGCTGTTGAATCTTTTCTTGTATCAGTGAATTAATCTAGCCTCAAGCTCACAAGAAGATAAAATGAACTGAATTTCTTTTGAACACTTTAACACTGCTGTGAAACAGAACACATGAATGATTTATAATGAAATCAGTAGTACAATTCACAAAATTCAAGTCTATAGCAAATGAATCACAAGAGAGGCTCAGAATCAGATCAGTGTTTTAAAAGAACAAGTAACTACTCTGATGAAAAAATGAGATTAATATAAAGAAGCATGCAGAACTATATTACTGAACATGCAGAAATAAGAAAGCACTTCTGCTTGTATAATTAAATTCAGAGAAAAGTGATTAATTAAGATTGATGACCACAAGCATCTCACAGATGAAAAGAAACTCAAATTTAAGTATTGATTTTTCAGAATAAAGAATAAATTGTGAGAGAATGCAGATCACTTTTTCACTGAAACTAGCAAGATCATCTATATTGAGAATTAAATTAATAGAAATGTCACACATCACATTGCTCTCTGTATGCAACAAGAACATCTGAAATATTATCAAACAGCAGGAAAAGTATTCAAATGCTTGAAGAAAATTTATAAGAATTTGAACAAGCTTCTCAATGCAAAAAATGACTATCATCAACTGATTATGAGAAACAACAATAATTATCACAAATTTATTATCAAGTTTCTGTATTTAGTGAGAGAGCAGAGATATTCAAAAAGAATTACAAGAATAATTTCATAAATC